ATGTAGCTACACGTAACGCCCTCAAATTTTTTTCAGTAGAATCGTTAGCAGTGAAGGTTTAGTTTACAATTTTTTTTTTTTTTCAGAACAGCCGTTTTAGGAAATTATTCGGCATTAGATACGCACTGTAGTTTCTCATGCGGTTGCCTACTCGTCAAGATGGCTTCCGAAACCGTGATAAGGCCTATCAAATATGCAATCGAACTGACCAGACCACAGCTTATTAAGGAAAATGGTCTCTTCAATGACATTCGACCCTCTCCATGTACACGTATTAGATAACTCAACACACCAAACGTATAAGAACTAGACAAAGGGTGTTGTAGTTTGATTTTGGTAATCGACAACTTCAGTTTTTTCGCGATTCGTGCTAGTCTTGCCCTTCGCACAAAATGCCGCGTTCGCCTCGCTTGGCGATAAAACGCCCTTTACTGATGCAGGCTACCCAACCCAATGAAAAAAGTAATTACAACTAGTCTCTTGAAAAAGAGGATCGTGGATCCAGGAACAAAGATTAAGGATCGGGGACCGGGGATCCATGATCAATAAAAGTTGTGGTTGAACTGTTATTCTGTTTTGTGCGTCTCGTATTAAAACACCGAAGGCGAAAACGATAATAAAGTGATCACAAACCTGACAAATATCTAGTACTAGATAGTTGTGTCTCTTAACGTATCCAAACTACCTTTTTACATGAAATTTTCGCGACACGCTAATTTCGCGAATTTCAGTTCGCGATACAAAAAAAAATCGCGAAATTAAAATGACGCGAACAATAACTGTCGCCAAAATAACAAGCATGAACTGCTGGTTGATATTGTTAGAACTGCTTTGTTGTTACTGTTGACATTTAGTCCCGCTGTCGCGTTTTTCTTAAGGTGACTCCTCACTAAGATGGCACTTAAATGAAAATCTGAGTGAGATATATAGCCCACGTTTAAAGTCCACTACGTGTAACGTAATGTCCCGGACATAATAGGGAGCTTAAGCAACAACGACGACGACCACAACGACGACTTCAAAAACCAATAGGTTTAATGATCAAAACAACAGCTCTGCTCGTGCATCACGCTTTTTAGCACATTTCTTTGATGTCCATTGCACGACTACGACGTGAAACCTCCTAATTTGCCGTTTTATAGAGGGCGTAAACTTACGACGACGAATTTTCCTTCCTCTTTTTGAACCTGAATAAAATCCTTAAGAATTCAGCTCTAGGAAAAGTTGCCTGCATTTGACATATTGAGCGGGTCCAAATAGAAGCAATTAAGATTGAAAGAACGCAATTTTTTTACCGACGTTTTCACTGCCGTCGTCGTCGTCCTTTCTAATGGTCCCTAATCATCTCTTTTTTGATGATATTTAACATGGTTCTTTAATGATTTTAAATGCTGATAATACTGACTTTCAAACACTAAAACATGTCATTACAAGAAAATGCACATATAATTTCCTAAAGATGTAACAAGAATTATGCTCCCAACCATTAACTGTTCTCGCCAGAGCTAGTCCTAGTTCTAATTTTTATAATCTCAAACTTTACCGGTGGGTGTTGCTGTCCTGGAAATGTCTAACGGTTCTGAGTATAAAAAGGGTTCTGAAAACCTCTCACTCTTCGAAAGCCTCTCACGCTTCGCTCGCTGTAAGGGAATCCGAAATCCGTGAAAGTTTTGCTTGTGGAATCCGAAATCCGAACAAATTTGTACTTGTACAATCTGGAATCCTGGGCATTGGAATCCGGAATACAAGTTCAGATGACAACAAATCCGGAATCAAGTACCTGAAAACCGGAATCCATGGCATAGAATCAAGAAACCTAGACTATCTTGGATTCCCTCACATGGAAGACGCTTGATTAAACCCAAAAAGGTAGTTTCAACCGAGTGAAAAGCAGCCAAAGTTAGGTACCACATGCATGTAACTTTGTTAAGTAGACCCTATTTGCTTGCCTCTCAGTCCCCTTCAAATCTACCCAGGCCTCCACAGGTCCTATTCCTACAAAGAATTTGTTTGCGGTGACAAGTGGGAATGAGAGCTCCTCTGAAGCAATTCAATTTTGCACTCTGCTGTACCCGTGCTGGTCCTCACCTTTGCAAGAGCATGATTTCTCCACAGTCTACAAAGAAAGCGTAGCTCAGCTCCAAAATTTCTTAAAAATACAAAACAAATTATTGGATTCACTGCCCAATATGAGCTGGCCAGCCAATGAGATATTTGAAATATTACATCAAATACCTGGCTGCATTTAGGATGTGCGCCGAAGAACTTGAGGAAAGTCATCACTGCAAAAGTCTGCCAGCATACTATAAATGTCAATATAGTCGCTGTAAATTCTTGTTACATTGACGTCTACATTTTACGTCCTTTGAGCTTCGATGCGAGGCCATTTTGTCTTTCCACAGGTTACACACAATGATCGGGTAAAGAATAGACATCAAAAGAAGAGATATAAGCACAAAATGTAAAGGATCGATGCATGAACACCAGATTAAAGGGAGGTAAACCCAGCCTTGTGCTAAGCCCACTTAAATTGTATGATACATCCTTGAAATTAAAAAAAAAAATCACCGATATATGGTGCCCCCTTGTCGTACAAGCATTTGTTGAAGATAACTAAAGATTGAATGAGAATCAAATGTCGAATAATTTCCATAAAACAGCTGTTCTGAAAAAAAAAAAGTGTGAATTGTAAACTTAAGCTACACAGGAAAGGATTTTACTACCAAATTTTGGGGGCAGTAACTGTGCTTAAATTTCCCTAGACGCTTGCTTTAGATTTGCCGTGTATTTGTCCGCAATTTTTCCCGGGAAGTTTTAGTCGGCAGGAGGAGAGATTTTTACAGACAAATGTAAATAAAATTATCAAAAGTGGTTCAGGCGCATGTAGATACACGTAACGCCCTCAAATTTTTTTCAGTAGAATCGTTAGCAGTGAAGCTTTATTTTACATTTTGATAACAGCCGCTGTAGGAAATTACTCGGCATTAGATTCTCATACAAACACTGCAATTTCTCATGCGGTTGCCCGCTCGTCAAGATGGCTTCCAAAACCGTGATAAGGCCTATCAAATATGCAATCGACCAATTGAACTGACGAGACGACAGTTTATCAAGGAAAAATTTAATGGTCTCTTCAATGACATTCAACCCTCTCCATGTACACGTATTAGATAACTCAACACACCAAACGTATAAGAACTAGACAAAGGGTGTTGCCGAGATTGATTTTGGTAATCGACAACTTCAGTTTTTTCGCGACTCACGCTCGTCTTGCGCTTCGTGCTAAATGCCGCGTTCGCCTCGCTTGGCGATAAAGCGCCCTTTACTGATGCAAGCTACCCAACCCAATGAAAGAAGTAATTACTGAAATGACGTATTTCAGTGTCCTTTACAACTAGTTTCTTGAAAACGAGGATCGTGGATCCAGGAACAAAGATTGAGGATCGGGGACCGGGGATCCATGATCAATAAAAGTTTGTGGATGAACTGTTATTCTGTTTTGTTGGTCTCGTATTAAAACACCAAAGGCGAAAATGATAATAAAGTGATCACAAACCTGACAAATATCTAGTACTAGATAGTTGTGTCTCTTAACGTATCCAAACTACCTTTTTACATGAAATTTTCGCGACACGCTAATTTCGCGATACAAAAAAAAATCGCGAAATTAAAGTGACGCGAACAACAAGTGTCTTGAAAATAACAAGCATGAACTAGTGGTGGACATTGTTGGAACTGCTTTGTTGTTACTGTTGACATTTAGTCCCGCTGTTGCGTTTTTCTTAAGGTGACTCCTTAGTAAGATGGCGCTTAAATGAAAATCAGAGTGAGATATATAGCCCACGTTTAAAGTCCACTACGTGTAACGTAATGTCCCGGACATAGTAGGGAGCTTAAGCAACAACGACGACGACCACAACGACGACTTCAAAAAAAGCTATAGGTTTAATGATCAAAATAACAGCTCTGCACGTGCATCACGATTTTTAGTTCATTTCTTTGATGTCCATTGCACGACTACGACGTGAAACCTCCTAATTTGCCGTTTTATATAGAGGGCGTGAACTTACGACGACGAATTTTCCTTCCTCTTTTTGATCCTGAATAAAATCTTTAAGAATTCAGCTCCAGGAAAAGTCGCCTGCATTTGACATATTGAGCGGGTCCAAAGAGAAGCAATTAGGATTGAAAGAACGCAAATTCTTTTTTTACAGACGTTTTCACTGCCGTCGTCGTCGACGTTGCTTAAGGTCCCTATATCTTCTCTTTTTTGATGATATTTAACATGGTTCTTGAATGATATTAAATGCTGACGATACTGACTTTCAAACACTAACACATGTAACTACAAGAAAATGCACATATAATTTCGTAAAGATTCAACGAGAATTGTGCACCAAACCATTGATTGTTCTTGCCAGAGCTAGTCCTATTTCTAATTTTTATAATCTCAAACTTAAGCGGTGGGTGTTGCTGTCCTGGAAATGTCTAACGGTTCTGAGTATAAAAAGGGTTTTGAAAACCTCTCACTCTTCGAACGGCCTCTCACGCTTCGCCCCCTGTAAGGGAATCCAAAAACCGTGAAAGTTTTGCTTGTGGAATCCGGAATCCGAACAAATTTGCACTGGTAGAATCTGGAATCCGGAATACAAGTTCCGATGACAGCAAATCCGGAATCAAATACCTGAAAACCGGAATCCATGGCATAGAATCCAGAAACCTAGACTATCTTGGATTCCCTCACATGGAAGACGCTTGATTAAACTTAAAAAGGTAGCCGTTTCAACCGAGTGAAAAGCAGCCAAAGTTAGGTACCCAATGTGTGTAACTTCGTTAAGTTACTTGCTTCTCAGTCCCCTTTAAATCTACCCTGGCCTCCACAGGTCCTATTCCTACAAAAAATTTGTTTGCGTTGACAAGTGGGAAAGAGAGCTCCTCTGAAGCAATTCAATTTTGCACTCTACTATACCCGTGCTGGTCCTTGCCTTTGCAGGAACATGATTTCTCCGCAGTCCACAAAGAATACGTAGCTCAGCTTGAAAATTTCTCAAAAATACAAAACAAATTATTGGATTCACCGCACAATATGAGCTGGCCAGCCAACGAGATATTTGAAATATTAAATCAAATACCTGGCTGCATTTAGGATTTGCGCCGAAGAACTTGAGAAAAGTCATCACTGCAAAAGGCTGCCAGCATACTATAAATGTCAATATAGTCGCTGCAGCTAGTTTAAATAAATTCTTGTTACATTGACGTCTACATTTTACGCCCTTTGAGCTTCGATGCGAGGCCATTTTGTCTTTCCACAGGTTACACACAATGATCGGGTAAAGAATAGACATCACAACAAGAGGTACTAGCACAACTGTTAAATATAAAAATATGTTGTACTTGAGAAAGGCTGAATTGTTGTTAATTTCCCATTTGTTTCGACATTTGGTAACATTTTGGCTTTTTACGAGATCAAAGGCGATGAAATATGGCGCGTGGATAGCCATGGCAACAATCCAAGTGGATGCGATTAAAAGGCGGCGTGTTCTTACCGTGATGAGGAGAGCCTCAAACGGGTGCAAGAACGCAAGAAAACGTTCGACTGCAATCATCACCAGGCTCTGGCTTGACACTGAAATCGATGTGTCGCTTAAGAACGTACACATCTTACATAAAAGTGTTCCTCCTAATCCCTGTACCGGCCAAGCAGGAGATTCTCTAACTGCAAATGTAATAAAGCGGGGAAGTAAAAAGATCGCTGTCAAAAGATCGGAGGCAGCCATGTTGGCGATAAGGAGCATAAGTGGTTCCTTTATCTTCGTTAAAGCGGCGACAAGGAAACTGTTTCCTACCAGGGCCACCAGAAGAGCAAGGACGTTTATAAAAATCAATATCTCCTTTGAAAACTCAAAGGAGCAGTTACTGTTTCCAGCTTCGTCCTGATGAGAAGAGGAGTTTGCAGGTTGCGACATTGTCAGAGTGGACCAATTTCTGTCAAGCGATTAGCGCATATAAATGAGTGCTTGAGTGCTTCGTACCCTAACAGTTGTAGTGCGATTGAATACAAGTTAAAAGGTCTCTTGCCGGAGAGTGCTCGTGAATTGCGATGGTAATGGCCGTCGCTTTGCTCTGCTGTATTGACATCCTGCAATTTATACGGTCTGTTACTTGCGACTCGGAAACTCTAAGAAATAAGCACTAGAACGCGTTAGGAAATCAGTATTATGTTATCATGCACGTACGCAAATCCTAATCTGCCAGGTCAAGTTTTGGGGGCGAATAAATGACACTCATATTATCTAGAACCCCATTAACTGACTTTACTTATGGTGTATAAAAATGAAAAACGTTGTGGGCAACTGTGCATTTTTATTGCTGAATTATATTATCACTGCCGGGGGTGAAAAAGCACTTGTTCTCGCTATCTTCAGTGGTATTTCCATGCTAACGTGTACCGCTTGTGCTATTAATTAAATATGCACTCGACTATTGCACTGACGAGACGCCAGCTTATCAAGGCGAATGATATCTCTTCGTCCCTCTCCACCTACGCGTATTAGATAACTGAGTACACCAAACGTATTGGAACTAGACAGAAGGCTTTTGTAGTTTGATTTTGGTAATCAATAAAGTCAGTTTTTTCGCGATCCCCGCGCGTGTTGTGCTTCGAGCAAAATGCCGCGTTCGCCTCGCTTGGCGCATAAAGTGCCCGTTACTGATGCAGGCTACCAAACCCAAAGAAAGAAGTAATCACTGAAATGACGCATTTCAGTGCCCTTTACAAGTGTTAAAACACCGAAGTTAAGTCGAAGACGATAATAATGTGATAACAAACCAGACAAATATGTATTACTAGATAGTTGTCTCTTAACGTATCCAAAGTCGCCTATAATATTGCAACAGGAACTAGGAAGACATATCAGAATAGCACGTGCTCCAATATCACACGTGAGCATATGGAAGTTTTAAAAACATCATATTAGTTTCTTTTCTTGGAGCGATCGTAGATAAGGAAGCGGGATCGACATATACGTAGAACTGGCATGATGAGTGGTAAGGGATTAAGTAGCTATGTTATGCTTTTTCGTGGTGTGCAGTGAAGTATCCCAATTGGACTTAATTTTTCTTTTTCTGTACATAGTCGCCTAAATGATCATGTCACTCTGCAAGTATATACTAAGAAACATCGAGCAACTCGTTGGATATTTCACGGAATACCACTCCAAAAACTGATAACGATGCTTTATTGAGCCAATGTGTTAGAAGCCGATACTTTTCTCCACACAGTCTTAAGCAGTTTACTCATTATCTTACACAGGATCAAACTAAATCTATCTCTCAATTTTTCACAATAATATTAGGAGCCTTAATCGTAACCACGAAAATCTAGTGACTCATTATTTACAAGAATTAGGTATTCACTTCAATATAATAGGTGTCACGGAAACTAAAATCACCAATTCTAATGAGAATACAGGCCTTTCAAACATACCCGGTTACGTTTTTGAACACGTTCCAACACCTCTAGCATGTGGTGGTGTAGGCCTCTTTGTCGATGAAACACTTAGTTATTCAGTTTTAGAAAAAACTTCCACCGAATCTTTTCAGGCATTGTGGATAGAAATTTCTTTTGTTAAGAAGAAAAACTTAATCTGTGGAGTCTTATACCGTCAACATAATTCTCCAGAGAGCTTTCTTAAATACTTGGAAGAGACTATCGACAAATTTACTTCGACAGGGAAGAACTAAGGGACTGTGCAATAATTATCAGGAAGGGGGGGTCCTAAAATGAGCTTCACCAAAGGAAAAATTAGATAGGTCCTCCCCTCCAGCAGCGTCAAGATTAGCTCTGACCCCCCCTCACGTTCCCCCCTCACGTTCTCTCAAAA